CCCCAAAACCCCAAAACCCCAAAACCCCAATAGTAAAATAGTTATAAGTTGAATTAATTCTAGTTATTACAATTATTGATTTAAATTCTAAATATTTTATTCTCATTCAAACACATCTTTCGACTAATGCTGCTAGAAAATCAATTAAAGTTATAAGAATAAGATAGCGAAGAATTACGTATAAAAATTAACGCCTAAAGATAAAGAGAATCATCGCAAAGTTAAAATAAAACTGTATTGCAAAAATATAAATCAACTCTCAAATTATACTCACATCAGATAAATGAACTTTAAAATCAAGTCAAAAAAGAATAGTCAGTAATTAATATTGTCAGGCAGCTGACTACGAAAGGAAATATAATCTTATATACTTAGGAATAAAGCTTGGGACCCTCAAATTAAAATGTTATTGACCTTAAAATCAGAGAGAAATCAAGAGATAATTTGGTGGACGGGTGTAAGAGGGATTCACTTCCTTCTCAGTTATTAAGTACTTGGTATGTGATGAAAGCTACTTAAAATAAAAATATTAAATAAGGGAATCATCATAAATAAAATCTCAACTAAAAATAGTACAAAGATGTAAGTTTGAGTATAAATGAACCATATACTAATATTGCTTGCAAAAACACATCTCCAATAACAATAACTAATATCTAGAAGCATGTCCATTAAAAGAATCAAGATTTAAATTGCACTTTTCCAAAAATTAATATCATCAGAAACGATCTCGATAGTGAATAAAGAAACGATAAAAATTTAAGAAAATTGTCATTTTAAAATTAAGATTTCTTAAATGTTTCCTCACTTGAGAGTACTAATAGTAGTACATAAGTAAAGAACTTAAGAATAAAACTAGTGAATTTCAGGAAGCTTAAATATAGAAAATCTCTAATGTAAAGTGAGGGTCAAAAAGTATAGAGATAAAACAGCGTGGTATATAACTCTAGCTAGTAGAATAATTAAAGTAAATTTCATTCAAGAAACATTTTGCTGAATCAAGCTCTTGAATCTCGTGGGCTAAGTGTTAATAGTACCTACAATAAAATTCACACTCAAATACTAGCAGAATTTAACAAATCAGATTTTAAATAAAATCGATCCAGATAAAAATCAAACATAGACTTATCTGACTACTCTTAGAAAATAAACAAGATGAGGAAACTTTTTCTGAGAAACAATTTTTCAAATGCATCAATGGACCACAGCTCTGAATCTTTAATAGACAAGTCTAACAGGGGGCAATTATATAAAGAAGAACAATAGTTCTCGAAAAGTAAACTGAAAAGCGAGTTATAGATCAAGGCAATATAATTAACTCCATAAATACTTAAGAAAAAGAAAATGATCATCATTGAAAACTAATTCTCATCCAAATAATTGAAAAAGGACAAGGAGACAATGATGCTGCCATAGTTAGAATTAAACGAGACTTCATCAACAGAAGAAGATTATGACTCTGAAATTGATCTATCATCTACATAAAATCTATAAAACCCAATGTTCCAAGCATTTATCAAAGTTCAATAGAAAAGGGAAAAAATAATGAAATAACTGGGAAAAAAATAATATAAAATTACTCAATTTTTTATTTGAAGTCAACTCCCCTCAAAGATATTATGGGATTTGTCTATAAATATATAATCATTAAGTCTGCATTCAATTAATTTCATTAATAAATATCAAGCTACCTTTGTAATTATTTTCTTCATGGGGGTTTTGGGGTTTTGGGG